CTTGCTGTTTATATGAACAGATTAATTTGACATTCAAGCTTTATATCCAGAGAGTAACAGGCCCAAACCCGCAAACCTGGTGGAAAAATGTCGTTTGCAAAACACTCCTGCCTGCTCGATCAACATCAATGCCCTTGAGCAAGGCACTGAACCTCTTTCTGCTCCAGTGGAACTACTGGCTGGCTAGCAGTAGGAAACTGTGGCTTTACTGGGCAGCGTCTATGGTTGCATGTGTGGCAGAATGCAACCAAAAATGAGCATCTGTTCTCAGTTTAGACATTCCTGGAGTAATTTTTTTTTCTTTTACAGAAATACAAGTAGCGCTACTGTTTGTTAAATTGTTGTCATGTCACGACAGCATATTTTGCTCCAAAATATCAGCATACTTGTCAGAGCTAATGGCGCCTTCACAGAACTGCAAGTTACCGTTCCCAAAGGCACTGACGCAACTCCAAACGTTGCTGGTAACAATCTGTCCTTTGCTCTGGAGTGCACAGCCTGATTTTACTAAAAGAGACCAGAAATATTGATTTGTCTAACCACACTGCAAGTTACCACTATGTGACAGTCCATCGCACCGAGCTTCTGAGCACTGAGAAGCGGACGGCTGTGTTTTGCACGATGACATTTGCAAATTTTAGCCTAACGATTACACTGGCACTTCTGTTATATCGCCTATAGATAAATATTTGTGACGTAGCACCTCAGGATTGGGTCTTTGATCTCTATGTAAATAAATTCCTTCAGAATCCTGAATTCCTGAAATCATTGAATTATGTTTTTCACTACGAAAAATTAATTATTCAAAAGTCTTCCTACCTTTCTTTGAAGAATATTGTTTAAAAACCTTTCTCTCATTCATTCATGGGAAAATGTCAGTGCTGAAAGGACTAAATGCTGCTTTTATAACAAATCATAATTACCATCTTCTAAATACATCAGCAGTCTCAAATTGCATAGTTATCATATAACATTTTTGTTTTGTTGCCATTACTGTTTTTTTTTAATTTGCGTTATTTATTTTAATCAGTTAGTTTAGCAAATAAATTTGTTCAAATACCTGTTAAATAATTTAAAATTTACTGTTTTTATTGTTATTTAACAGTAAGTTAACAATCTGTAATTCTAAACTTGACACGTTCTGATACACCAGTGCAAATCTCAGCTTTTAGGGAGGCCATAGACAAGATCTTTGCATTTTTACCAAAATGTTTGAGCATTAAATTGAAAATTAAAAAAGTTATTGATGCTGTTGCTTCATTACTTTGTCATGTTATGCATTATAACAAACGTACACATTTTTAGTCATCTGTGTTTGGATATCAGTCGTTTTTGCGGGTCTGAATAGTAGAAACTGATTTATATTTAAAAATAAAATTAAGCCAAAGTAACGAATCATTGTTGTATTAATTCTGTCAGAAGTGAAAAATGGTTTGATGATCATCTGGGAATCTGCTTCCCTTTGTGTTTGTGTATATATGTGTGTTTGTGCGTGTGGTTTCTGCGCCAACGCACTATTTCCGAGCAGTGGTCATATTTGGTCTTCCTTAGTCATTCATGACTGCAGCATTTGTTGTAAATTTTTCTCTCTGATTTGTTTGTCTCCAGGCGTGGAGCATCACATACGTCAGCTGGCTGACGTTCGTCTTCCTCATCTGGTCCTGCCTGCTGTGGATGGTCCGTGATCGGAGGCGTTACGCCATGCTGTCGTCTCCCTTCATGGTGGCCTACGGCAACCTGCTGATAGTTCTGCAGTACATTTGGACTTTTCCGGACATGGATTACAGCAAAGTCAAAGGCTTCTTTGTTGAGAAGAAAAACCCATTCCACTCACTTTCATCTAAGGTTTGGGAGTTCACATTAGCCAAACAACTAAACATCCGTGAAGCCACTAAACCTGACATTTAGCTTGACAGCCTGCAATCTTGACCACGTAATATGGTTTAATATGTGCA